GCACGTCTCCCTATGTTTGGGGAGGAAGTTGTTTTGGTAGACACGTATTATTCCAGATCACAGACCTTGTGAATGGAAGCTGGTTCATGCACACTTTAAAAACTATTAAGTCTGGATGATCTAAATTCTTTCCAAAGGCAAAAGAATGAATCAAGTTATTTCTCAAGAACTTTCTAGTCTTCGTGATTCTAATTAGAATTGAAGAAAGTATGTTAAGATACTATAATGTTGAAGAACAACAACAAAAAAGACGTTGTGACCTTAAGATAACAGTGGACTCTCAGTGGAGCGTCTCACTCAGCAGTGTGTAGGGTCTGCTGGTGGTGGCAACTCTAGCCCACCACAACCCTGCAAGGTGCCTTTTTCTCTTGTATCCTAGACAACACCTGACCGTGTAGAGGTGGAGATCATCAGTGATGATAAAGATTTCCTTCCATCTAACTGTATATGTCTTCAGACCTTTTTGGTATATTTTTGTAAATGCTCCAAAGGAAAACCTGGTTATTTCTTCTTGGCCTGAGGATGAAGCATGATTTTAATACCAGTCACACTCTGCATCTAGACACACAGATTTCTATTTTGATGGGGTCTAGTGATACAACCTTGGTGTAGAGGCTTATGCTAAAAGGGGGAGTCATGCGAAAGGATGTCTATTCCACACTGGAGGAAAAGAAGCAGATAGCCCTTTCTTTTGTTAATGATACTTCTCCATAGAAGGACGCTCTGGGGCTGTTTTTAACACTAAAGTATCTGAGCTAACGGATGAGCACTTTTGGAAAATCTTGCAAACATTATGGTGAGAGAGAGCCAGGGAGATCATGATACTACCTTTATAACACAATAGCATGTGGCATATTAAACATGATGGTAGCTAGGTACGGTGGCTCAAGCCTATAATCCCAGCACTTTGGGAGACTGAGGCGAGAGGATTGCCTGAACCCAGGGGTTCAAGACCAGCCCGAGCAACTTGGTGAGCTTACCTACAATTTAAAAAAACAAGAAAGAAAGAAAGGAAAAAAATTAGCCAGGTGTGGTAGTATGCGCCTATCTATAGTTCTGGTTCCTCGGAAGGCCGAGGTGGAAGGATCGCCGGAGCCCAGCAGGTCGACGCTGTGGTGGCTGTGAGCGTGGTTCTGCACTCCAGCCTGGGCAAAAGAGTGAGACTCCGATTCAAAAACAACAAAAACACCCATGAGGGGTTTTTAATCTACCAACCGAAATCCCAGTTGTGGGAGTACCACCCTGCCCCTCTGCATACTTCTGGGTGTCATTTAAACCTCCCCTTTGACCGAATACGACTGTCTTTCATTGTTCCGACACCTGCTACTGCCAGGCCTGCCTGTGTTCTCGCTGGGTCTCTTACCCACCGTCTCACCGCTGCATAGATCATCTCTTTGCTCCTTCTCTTGAGATTTTTCCCCGTTTCCCCCGTTTCAGATATTGCAAGAATGTGGGCTAGCTTTTAAGAACTGGAGAGAAAAAGGAGCCCTGTGAGGCCGGGTGTTCTGTGTGCCATTGCTCCATGGTGGGAGTTTGACAGGTCTGCCCAAGGAAGGCAGGTTTGCCTACTCCCCCTGAATCTGCAGTTTTATACCTTGTTTGCTTTTGCTGTCCTGTGTTGGGGTGGAACGTGTCTGCTGCAGCCCCTTCACCATTTCTTTTCCTCTTTTCCTTTCCTCTAGGGGGGACACAATATGATCAAAATCACATCATCCTCAACACCGTCAGCAAAGAAAAGTTGACGCAAGTGTGGGAAGCCATGGTCCTATAAACCTGAACGAGGAACACAAAAGAAATCTTTCTGGAGGTCCCTCCAGCTGCCTTATTTTAAAAAAACCAAAGGACAGTGCTGATGGCAGCGCCACCTGGAAAGTGGACTTACCTTCAGGGATTCTAAATCCAGTCACACCGCCGCAACTGAGAGCTGTCTCATCTCTTCGGAAGACTAATAGTTCTAAACCAGTAGTTTGTCTCCTTTTGTTTCTTGCCTTTCCCCTCAAGTAGCTGCTTCAACAGTCTGCCTTATTAGCAGCTTCTGGGTGTTTTAAAAAATGTTATATTGAGACTCTAAAACGATGTACATTTTAAATGACTTCCAAAGATAGTGACAGGAAAGAACTAGAACAAATATACCGACTTTGTGGCCCTATAAATCCCTGGACTTTAAGAGGAAGGATAAAAGCCTTAACTTTGAAAGGTAGAGGACTATTTAGCATCTGGGAAGAAATACTTTATGAAGCCTGCAATTTTGGTTCTTGACCTTAATGTTTTCTGGAACCATTGATTATGCTTCATAGCTAAGTGAAAAAGCCTTATATATTCAGACTTTTTTTTTTTAAGTCTGTGTCTCATTCTGTCACCCAGGCTGGAATGCAGTGGCGTGATCATGATGATCACGGCTCACAGCAGCCTTGACCTTCTGGGCTCAGGCAGTCTTTTCACCTCCAGCATCTTGGGTAGCTAAGACTATAGGCACCACACCCGTTAATATTTTGTTTTTTTTGTAGAGACAAGGTTTTGCTATGTTGTCCAGGCTGGTCTTGAACTCCTGGGCTCAAGCAGTCCTCCCACCTTGGCCTCCCAAAGTGCTGGGATTACAGACATATTTTAGGAACTCAGTAGGTATAAACGAAGCACTATTTTCTTTCTGTTAATATTAAAAATTAGTAAATTTGTAAAAGTTCGTGTCTAAGTCTGCTGACATTTATTATCAGGATTTGAATTATTTTAACTCGCCCATGGGCTACCGTAGAATGTCACACAGGAGTGTTGCTTAATGCTTCATATAGCTGCTACTGGAACACATTATCATGACCTAATTTATTAACCCATCCTTATACATCTTCACGTGCTGAAGCAATGTTATCTGATGTTTTGCTACACTCAGGTCTTTTAGTCTAGTTTCTTGCCCTCCTCTCCGGCTGTACTGACACATGGCCCGCTCGGGTGGCCTTGGCGGGAGTGCTCTTGGCCGTGCTCTGGCCCTCCTGCTGGTGGACAGCCTCAAGCCTGGGGGCACTGCAACCCCACGTTACTGCCTTCTGGTAGCAGAATCGAGAGGTGTGGAAGGCACAAGAGGAAACCATGTGAAAGGTGAAAGAAAGGAGACCTTAAGGGATGTTATTACATTTAAGGTCCTCAGTTGTAAGAGTAAGTGTTTCACGAATACAAATGGAAACCCATACAGTGCTGCTCAAACTGTGGGTTCTAGTTTTAAACAAAACTGCAAGGCATTTCCTTGAATACATCTTTCTCTTTTTGTTCTTGTCACTGAATACTGGTGCTCTTGTCACAGGTAGAACAAATTTTGTTTCCTTTTCATCTGTTCAAATGTGTTTCCAATTCTAAAATGCTGCTCTTCCCTGGAGTCTATGGTAGGCAATTATGGTCATTAGAATCGTTTATCTTCAGTTTTAAAATAAGGTTTGCACATGTACAACAGCATCTGCCTTGTCTGACTCGTTCTCAGATATAGAGCTCTGATTTTAGGCCTTTTGTGCAAATTATTACAATATGGTGGGGGTGAGACATTCTCCAGGAGCCTGTGCTGAATCTCTCTCTCGAATAAACTTGTTTCTGGTTAAATACATTGATGAAATCTGTCTGAGTCCATCCAGTAGCCCACATCTAACCCTTCAAACAGTCAGCTTGCAGATTGGAAACAAATGTCAGATTAGAACGCGGCAGGCTTGAGGGATGCTGGTGTAACAGCAAGAACGTTTTGCTGCCCACCCTTTTTCCCTGGTTTCTGAGGGTGGAAACGAGTGTGAGTGAGACCTCTGGCTCAAGGGTTTTGTCCCTCACTACCACCTAGGAGCCCTCAAGGGAAAACAGCCAAGACTGCTCTAGGGGGAAGTCAAGAGCAGCTGGGATGTCCAACTGGAAAAACTTTTTTCCTTTGAAGTACCTGTGTAGTAAGAGTAGCAAGTCTAGAGAAAAGCCTGCATCCAACACACTGCCAAATACACCAAGTAGAAATGTTCTCAAAATAGGTCTGTATCAAAAGCTAGCAGCAAGTAATCCAAGGTGCCAGTACTGGGGATAAAAGACTTCAGCGAATAAAATCACTTACCTGAAGTGAATGGAATGGATGAGATTCCAGTGTACACTGCCGCGGGTTGACTGGTGAGATGCCTACATGCAGACATTTGGGGGTCAGGAAATGACAAGCTTTGGACTCCATGGAATGGCTGCAACTTCCACGGAAAGGCCCCCAGAAGAGTATGTTTCAGTTACTAAAAGCGGTCTAACCCTTTCGCAAAATGTAAGGGTTTTAAAAAGAAACTTTGGCCTCGCCTTTCAATATTAAGAGTAAACACCAATCACTGGCCAGATTTTGATATTTGACTCAGAGTGAGAGTAGCGAGGGCTGTGATGACCACATTAGTACAGAGTAATAAGAACCGGCTTTTTTTCTTTGAGTCGGATCAGTGGCACTGTCACAGCCACCACAGCTTCAACATGCTGGGCTCAGGCAATCCTGCCTCAGCCTTCCAAGTAGCTGGAGCTACAGGTGCATGCCACCATACCTGGCTAATTTTTTGATTTATTGTAGAGGTTTTGCTATGTTATCCAGGCTGGTCTCAAAACCCTGGGCTCAGGTAAAGTGCTGGGATTACAGGCATGAGTCACCATGCCTGGCTGAAGGAACTAGCTTTAGATAATCTGTTCATGCCGACATCCATCCATATACCAGAAGTGTTAGTATTATACAAATAGTAAAACGATAAGAGTTGGAGCTACTATGGAGGTACCACAGCAATCTGCAAAGCTGTTGTGGAAGATCAGATTAAAAGCCAATATGCACTCCTCACTGACTCTAGACAAGTTCGAGTGCTAACATTTTTGTTTCAAATACTGGCAAATGACTGGTCAAAAAGGCTTATTTTTTTTTTTTAAAGCTTATATCATGGAACTTATAATCTAGAAAAAAATGTTTGAAGGGGAAGATGAGGAAAAAATTTGGGCCCATAGGCACTCGCCAAGTAAGAGAGCCAACAATCACTGAACCGTGTGTTTATTTAAACGACATTAATGACAGTCTTTCCTCGTGCGTGTCCTCTTTCCACCTTCAGGAAGGCTTCTGGAACTTTAGAAAAAGGAAAGGTTTGTTCAATAACTGGCCGAATCTGAAAAACACAAAGGGTTGAAGGGTGGATAAAAATGCTGACATTTTCCAAGGCAGATGACGTCTCTAATTCGGTTCTTCACGATGGCCCTCAGGCTGGGTCTCTCTTGGGTTTCTCTCTAGGATACGAAGGTCGGGCACTCATGCCTGGCCACTGCCTCCACCCCTCCCCCACCACCTGGTTTACTTCTCTGTGCTGTGGTATCACTTGCCTACTCAGGACCCTTTAGCAGCTCCCACCCTGGCATTCAAAGACCACTTACCCTGCTGTATGTATCCTACTGGTCCCCTTACAGACAGCACGCAGAATACTTGTGTTATTTATCTGTTAAGCATCTGGCCTATCTACTGAGTCAGAGCAGAACGTACATGTGGTCACAGGCCAACACTCCTGCAGCCCCCACCGCCCCAGCATAATGCTAGATGTCCAGTAGAAGCTTCATTCCTGTCACTGGGTGAAAATGAGTAAGATAATTGGGAAACAAGAGTCACCGAGATTGCTGGGCTTCAGGAAAACTTGTCCCAGGCTGGCACTGGGAGGCTTTGCTAAAAAACGGCACAGCTGGTTAGAAAGCACCAGAAAGTCACTCCAGCCAGCCTGTACGGGTTTGAATGCTGCTGGATCTTTTGACTGTACCGTGAGGACTGCCAGCAACCTCCTCTTGAAACTAGGTCCCAGGTTACACCCTCTCTGCCTGTGTAAAAATCCAGCTGAACTCTTCCTTTTCAGAACTTCAAGCAAAAAACAGTAACTGTCCACTGGGTATCTCAGGGCCTGCTCCCAGAGCCTCACTGGAGGGATAAGCTATCAGAAGGCACAAGCTAAGTCCTGCATGGATGGCCCTTTCATTTTACAAAAAAAGAGTTCTTGTGACACTTAGATGCATCTGAGGAACCTTCCTCTTGGAGAAATTTCACAGCCCAGCCACCAGAAGAGCATCTGAGACTCTAAAAGTTCTCTCTTCCAAATACTTTCATACCCACAAATCACAAGAAGCACAAAAAGTAACCACTGGCATGGACTGCCCACACTGTGTGCCAGGCATTGCTCTAGGGGCTTGAGATATTTTACTTCCTTTAATCCCCATAACTATTTTTTGAGGTAGGTGCTACCATCATTCCCATTTGACAGATGAATAAACGAGGGCACAGATTAAATCAGCTGCCCAGCGTCCACACTCCTGCTAAGTGGTGAGGCAGGATACCATCTGGGGCTGCTGTCTGTGTTCTCTCCACCATGCACTGAGCCTTTCATGTATCATCTGTTGCTGCCTACGCCTACTTATCTTAAAGGGAAACAGCCCAGGATCATAATGATGTGTCGCCGGCTGCATCTGGCCTGCCTTCTGTATACTAGCTGAGGCTCTGGTCTCAGGGCCTTGGGTCCAGGCCAAAGATGATGGGTATGTGGCACGTGTGTCGACACTCCCATCTGTGCCTATGGAGGACACTGCTCACGGATAATCCCCTGCAAGTCAAGCAAGACCTCAGACTCTTCCTCACTGCTGTAGCCTCTGTAAGCTGCTCAGAGCTGGGTTGTTATGAAATCTATTTGCCATCTCTGGTAAAAGAAAAGAATGAAACACATTCAAGTGGTTTCCTGTGTGTCCCATGTAAAACCTAAAGCCTTTGTGACATTGTTTTCTGGTTGCTGTTTACCTGGAAAAGGAATCGCCTGAGTGTATGCTTAGAATGCAGCGTCCTCATGGAGGCAGAGACTGGAGTGAGGCAGCCACAAGTCAAAGAATGCTGGCTGCCACCAGAAGCCGGAAGAGGCAAGGAAGAATTTTCCCTTATGGCCTTGAAGAGTCCTGCCAACACATTGATTTTAGCACAGTGATACTGATTTCAGACTGTTGGCTCCCAGAACTCTGGGTTGATGCGTTTATTTTGTTTTAAGCTACCCAGTTTATGATCATTTTTGCAGCCACAGAAAACTAACAAAGTAAATTACCCAATCAAAAAAAAAGAGTGCAGGGTCCTAGGCCCCCTGTTAGAGCAACTAAATCAGAATCTCTAGGGGCGGGGTAGAGACCTTTTTTTTTTAAAGCAGAAAAAAACTTCATTTCTATCCAATTGAAAAGTATGAATCAATCTTCAAGCAAGATTCAAATCATCAACAATAAAATTAAGAGTCAAGATAGTATATACAGATCAGACTACAGGTATAGGCTCTTTGAATTAAGTGCATACATCAAAATTAATGGCCTAACAACTGTCACACTGAGGAAAAGCACTCTGACTCATCGTAAATACATGATTTCTGGGAAACCTGAGCTGCCATTTCACAGGACAGTAAACCAGAGACAGACACCGTGCATTTTCAGTATGTTTCCCAGGTGACCTACACACTGAAGTGGCACACACTGCAGCCTTGTCCTTATTCTTAGGGTCCCCACTGTGTATTACATGCATGTTTATCCATTCTGCAGACTAAGTGTCTTCCGTCTAAGTGCTGGGCACTCATCCAGGACAGGTGCACGAAATAGGCCACACTTCAGGATGAGCTGCCCGGGCTCATCTGGCTGTGTTCAGTGCAGAGCTCTGACTGGGGACACAGATCCTGAACTGATGACACAGGCAGCTGCAGCTACTGCACACTTTAATCTGGCTGGTCAGGCCTATTGTGGCAAATAACCCGAGAGGGCTGACCGTGGCATAATGAGTCATTCAGCAATTCCCATAAGTGACAATGAAAAAAAGGCTTTCAAATGGAAGGCAGGCAAATGCCACTGTTGGCTGAATCCATGACAGCAAACGGAGATTAACTGGATAATGAGGCAGTGTCTATGCAAGCCCCACGTCAGACCTGGAATGCTTGTTTGTTAAGGACAAAGGGATCAGAGTGAAAATCCAGAGAGGGGAAAGAAAGGTTACAGCGAAGGGGGGACATTTATGTGATGACACTGCTAGAGTCCACCTGGCACAGGGAGTCGTATAAAGCGGCAGGCTCAGCGCCACACTTCGCGCTGCAGACGCACGGGGCTCGGGCCGGCCAGGAGATGCCCAGGCCCCAACCCCAGATCACGTGTGGGTCCTGACTGCGCCTCGCCTTCCTGAAACAAAGGCCGAGCCAGGCCCAGCCAAGATATGGGGCCCCTGCTGCCTGACATCCCTTCCAGAAGAGCACAGGGACAAGAGAACTGCGGCCTCCCTGGATGCGGCCTGAGTGGTGCTGCTCACCAGCCTCTGGGCAGTCGTCCTTCCCTCGGGGACGGGAACCATCTCAGCCTTTGGAGGGGAAGAACGAAGAGACACCCCTCACCACCGCCAGAGCCTGGGGCCGGTGGTGGAAGACGGTCATCTTCCGGGTGGCCAGGGTGGCCCGCAGGGGCTCCCCTCGATCCCCATTTCCCAGTGAGAAGCACACAGGAGCAGAGCTAAGGGACGGACGGAAAGATCCGAGGGAGCCAGTGTTGATCGATCAGGACACAAGCGCACATGGGGAGGGGGAAGTGCAGGTCGATCTGTCAGCAGCAGAGCCAGCGAGGACCCAAGACTCCCGACCCCATCAGCGCATGGGATGGATGCAGTCTGGGAGTCACAGTCTGTTCCACGTCCTCCTAGGCCCTCGGCTTCATCCGCCACCAGAAACAGAGGCTGCAGATAACAGAGGGTGGGGTGTGTGAGGAGAGACGACAGACAGGAGACACCAAGGAGAACCCAAGGGCTCCTGGCATGAGCCCAAATCCACACACCCACAGACAGGCACCAGGACCACTGTTCCGGCACGACCTCCTGGACAAGTATGCCCCTTGAATGAGAAGGGGACAAAAGGAAGAGGGGGCTCTGCTCAGATTGGCTGTTTCCGGGAAACTTCCTGCCCCAGATGGAAAACTCAAAGCTGGATGATGGAGTGAGGCAGGAGGGACATGGTGGGCAGGGTACCTACCTTCTACGGGAGCCACTGTGCCCATCTGGGAATGTACCCAGGAACTGTCCCTGGGTCCCTAAAAGGACGCTCCCGCCAGCCAGAGGGTGAGAGAAGGAACTCTGTGTACATTTCCTCATAGAAACAGTCTAGGGAGCATCAGAAAACCTTCAGAAGCGTCCAGGCCATGCAAGCCATGAGACATTCGTCACATCAGGCAGGCAGCCCTCTCCCAGTAGCCCCAGGGATTCAATCGTTAATCATCACATTCCTTCTACAGAGCACAATCCAGCTGCAATAAGGAAAGTACCCTGTAGACTTCAATCCATTGCTAAATTGGGGCCTGGCCATTCAAGAGGGGCCTGGGAAACCACCACCTCACAACTCACTACATTTTTTTCTCTAAAGCTGCAGTGCCCCATATGGCAGCCTTTAGACACATGTAGCTATTTAAATTTAAATTAATCAACAGCAAATAAAATGAAGAATTCAGTCTGGCAGCTGCACTAGCCACACTTCAAGTGCTCAGTAGTCACGTGTATGGTGAGAGGCGAACATACTCAACAGTGCAGAGAAAATTTCCATCACTGCAGAAAGTTCTGGAGGGCAGTGCTGCCTACAAGGTGAATCAGGGTGGCCAGCACGTTTCTCCACACCCTACTGGGTGAAGTAAGTGCCAGTGGGCCTTCAGAAAACGTTTGAAACTGAACTCAAACAAGTTACATAGGAGTTATTCCGACTCTGGCTAAAATAAACTGGGAAATCCATAATCTTGCTCAACCAAGAAAATTGGCTGGTCACTAAAGATTCTGAATAGACCTGTGAACATTAAGTACGTGACATCAAAAGGCTGTAATAATTAAATGAAGAATATATGTGTACAAAAAAATATTTTAAAAGATCTTTTTAGTTTCTGGCCTCAGGGGCAACCGAGATTTCCAGTTCCTTTCAAATCCTTTTGAGATATTTTATACACGGTGGCAGGCAGAATAACAGCTTCTAAAAATACATCTTAATTCCCAAAACCTGTGAATGTTACCTGACAAGGCAAATGGATGTTGCTGGTGTCATGAAGGATCTTGAGATGGGGACATCATCCTGGATTATCCAAGAGGGCCCAGTGGAATCAC